TGTTGAATAAATAAATGAGTGACATTCAAAGGGAGTTCTTAAGTGGGGATTTAATGGGTGGTATTAGTGCCATTGCCTGGGCTCTGGGGACAGCTGTGAGTCCAGATGTCCTGGCTTCTGCTCAGGGCCCGATCCATGTCTAGCCTCTGGTCTTGTGCCCAAAGGCCGTCCAAGCAAAAGGAGGCAGAAGATGCCTCTCCTAGAGGGGCATTAGGGCATTAGGATGATTTGGATACAGAATCTCCTCCCCACTTTTCTTCCTTTCTCCAAACTAAGTTTTTTAAAAGCACTTCCTTCCACTGCCCCCATCCTCTCTCATCTTGTGGCCAAAAGGTTTCCTTCCTCTAAAAATACCCCCCCTTCTTATCTTCTCCCCTGCCTTTAGCTGTTTCCAATGGTGTGGTGAGGAACTTGAGCATCACTCTCTTTTACCTGGCAAAGTCCCCAGGAAGAGACGCCCCTGGGGGTGGGCCCAGAGGTTGAGGAGGGAGCCAAGGCCCACAGGAGGTGGAGCGAGGATCTTCCTTGGCCCCTGGCTCAAGAGCACCCTGGACACATCCAGCTTCAGCTGAAGAGGGAGTCCCAAGACCAGGGGCAGATCCAGCCCTGGCTCTGACCCATAAGACAGCACCACTTTCTGCAGAGTGTGTAGGACAGGGACATAAGTTGGGGAGGAAAGAATGAATCACATCTATTCCTTGTGGCCCCATCACCTAGCTGCCTTAAGTCTGCCTCTTAGCCACACCTCGTATCTACTGGCCATCCCCACCTCCTAAATCCTGCCTCAGTTCTCCTGGCTTGACCTTCCATAAAGCCATACTCACCCCAAGTAAGTAATACAATCTAAATAAAAGCTGTTTGTGCTCCTGGCTGGCAGCTCAGTTGGTTAGGGCATCATCCCATACACCAGCATTGTGGGTTCAATCCTCAGTTAGGACATATACAAGAATCAACCAATAAATGCATAAATAAGTGAAACATCAAATCAATGTTTCTCTCTCTATCTCTCTCCCCCTTCCTCTCTCTCTAAAAAAAAGTCAACAAAAAAAGAAACAACCAATGAATCCATGAATTAGTGGGACAACAAATCAATGTTTCTCTCTCTCTTTCCCTTCCTCTCTCTAAAAATCAATAAATAAAATTTTTTAAAATAAGTAAAAGTGGTTTGCTTGGTGTCCCCAGCTTTAAGATGTATCCCTGGCTGCCTTAAGCCTTCTTAATATTGACATTTTGGAGTCCCCTTTCTTCCACTGCTCCTAGGTGCCACCACAGGCAGTGCCCCCTCTTACTTGATCTTGGAGGTGGAGGCTGAGCCAAGAAGGGTTTTCTGGGGTCCCGAAGGCAAGGAGGTGGCCAGAGCCTGCTGCCAATTGGAGTCCCAGGTCCAGAGAGAAGGCCCAGGGCTCTACATGAGGCTGGGGAATATCTGGTGGGGAGAAATGAGGCCTCAAGGTTAGGGATTCATGGAGGGAAGGGGCTAGTAATGGAAAGAGACAGAGGAAGGAAAACACAGAGATAGCCATGGAGGCAGAAAACCAGCCTTTACCTTGGAGACTGAATTCTGCATGAGTTCCTGGAGGGAAGAATATCCCAGGTTGGGACTCTATAGCACAGTTTCTGAGGCTAGTGGGGACTGACACTGAAATCTGGGCCTGTTTGTCCAGCCAGTTATCCCTGCGCAAACAGGCATCCAGGGCAGGTACCAGCTGGAGCCCATAGGGGGAAGGGAAGACACAAGGATGTCAGAACTGGGACATCTGAGCCCAGTCCCAGGCTCCCCACCCTCAATTCACTCCCCCCCCACCAATACACAAGCATTTGGCCTCCCCCATGAAGCTCTTATCCCATCCCCTCTTCTCAAAAGTGTGGACTTAGACCCCCATAGCCACCAAGCCAGCAATGTTTTATCAGCTTAGGTGATGGTTCCCACGCCTATGATGCAGTTACCGGCAACCGGAGGTGGGAGGCAGGGAACAGCAGTCCCCCAAGTGCAATCCTCATGATGGGCTGTGGTTTTTTGGCCAGTGGCCCAGAGACCTGTCTCAGACGAAGCACCTCCTCCTCGTCCACTCCCAGCAACACTGAGTCCCCAAGGATCTTCACCTCTACCTGTAGAAAAAAGGAGAAACAGAATCAGAGACCCCTGGGACCTGTTTCCACTAATTTCTTCAGAGTCAGCCAAGTATAGTGGAAAGAACATACATCCTTGGCTCACTTAGGACTTGTCACTTATATACTGACTGAGTTTTAGAATTCCCCTCTGAAAAAATGGAGGTTTTGTGCAGATTAAATGAGATGACAATGGTAATGGGATGCCCAATGACTTGATTCTGTTCCCCTTCCTCAGACTAGCTCAAGACACCCTTCCCCTCAGGACCAGATCTGGCTTACCTGGTGCCACCTCCCATCGTCCAGCCGGGGTCCAGCACCCACTGTAAGCTGGGCCCAGGGATTGTGCAGTTGGATCTCAGGCCGGCCATCTCGAAGCCCCAGGACAAACCAGTCATCCCTTGGATTGGTATCACCATAAAAAATCACTCCTTCTGGATCCCAGGTTCGAAACTCAAAGGAGGAGGAGGTTCTGGAAGAACACAAATGGAAGGGCTGTGTATGGGGTGTGCCTTTGAAGGTAAATGTGCGGTTTGGGGAGGTGAGGAGGTAAGGGAGCGAGAAGGACAGTGAGACGGGGAAAAGAGAAGAGGCGATGGAGATGGCAGGGTCAGGGGATTAGGTCAAGGGACTAGGTGAACCTCATACTTTGTGATCTTGGTGAGGTTAAAGGTCATGATAGAGACAGGTTCTTGTCCTGGGCCATTGCTGAGGTGCACAGCAGGAGGGTCCTGGATCCCCTATCAGAGAAGAAAATAAACAAGCTGGAGTAAGGACATGCCTGAGACAGACAGAAGGAGAGGCAGTGTTACAGGGCCAGAGGAGGAAAGAAAGGAAGAGGGCAGAGACAAAATGTAGCTCATTTAAACACATGGGCTGATTACCCTGTCCCGTTCCTGCAGCTGGGTGGGGGGAATCTGTCTCAGAGCCTGTCCCTGGTGGTTATAAGGTGGCAGCAGCAGCAGTAGCAGCAGTACCCAACACGATTTGGCCAGAGGGCCTCCACACTCCATAATCAGCCGTAGTCCTCTCTCTCTGTGGCTCAGACAGCTCTGGGGAGAATGCGTAGCAGACAGCCTTGAGCATGGTCATTGGAAGGTTAAAGGTTGCCCGGGGGGAAGAAGGGGGGCAGGAGACAGGGGCACTGACCCTACCACCCTTCTGAGGGGACAAATGGGGTGAGGGACAAAGTTCCTCCACTACCCTCCCCCACTGCTGAGAAAGTTTGAGCTGGGAGAGGGCACCCCACTTTCCCTCTCCTCCTCTAGAGCCTAACCTGGGTCCTCCAAACCTTCTCTCCACCGGGGAAGCTGCCTGGACAGGCTTGAGGTATAGAAACAGTCCTGTCCTGCTCCTCAAGCAGCATCCCAGTCAGGATTAGAGCCAAGACACAGAAATCCCAAATATCTAGCTGAATGACTGTGGGCAGGTCACTTTGCAGTTGTGCCTTAGTGTCCTTGTCTATAACATGTGAAAAAGAATACTTACTTTATGTGGCTACTGCGAATGAGGATTAATTGAGACAATGCAGGCACAGTGCCTCGTATCTGCTCTGATTGCTTCCCTTATTATTTTCCCAGGCCTGGGAGGGAAGTACTGCTTCATAAGGAGGTATTGTCTCTGAGTGTGATTTAGTGGATACTAAATTATCTTCTCTTATTCATTTATTACAAGGCCTAAACATCTACCAACAGAAATTTATCACCCTCTCCCTGCCCCATTTTAAAATACAAATGGACCCTGAACAGTAACACTTTGTGCCACCCAAGAGCCATAGTTAAACAGCTTTCAGAGCCGGGAGCCTTAGGGCTCACCCAGGGTCTGAGTAGGCTTGAATGGGTGAGTGAGAGTAAAGGGTAGAGCAGATAACCCGGGCCCACTTCAGTTAAAGAAGGACCCGGAGTCCTTCTTTTCAGCTGTGGGGTTACTGCGACTCAGGCTGGGACATCCCAGATCAACAGCGAGGGAGCCTCTGGCAGCTAGACCTTGACCCCTGCCCCCGCTCCCAGTCACGAGACCCGGCCGAGGGAAGCGGGGCG